TTCAAGAGCTTAGCAGGTGCCATGGTGCATCACACTTACAGTGCAGCCGAGGGAGGGGTCAGGGAGGGTTTCATTGGTCTGAGAAACCCAGTGCAAGTTACACTGAACTCTCTGGATAGGTGTGGAGGGGAAGATGGATGTGTCATTGGGGTTTAGCTCAGAGGCTGTGAGCGGTGAGGTTATGGAGCACAACCAAAGAGAAGAGTGTAGGCTGAAAATATTTGGGGGCTACCCTCCCCACCTTCATTTTACCACATAGCTGATACATGTTCGCCAGCGGTCAAAAAGGCTGTCAATGCACAGTGTGAATGAAGTTGTTTGTGGGGCCTATGAACTTCTGGGGAGGGGAGGAGTGTAAACCGGGAGCCCCTCCTTCTAATGTCACAGTGGACATTTGACCCAAGATCATGGTCTTAATGTTATATTAATATTTGCTAATATTGAGATAACCGACATACATTTTGATATATTATATCTTGGGACCTGGCAGGGAAATCCTTTCCATCTCTGCTATTACTGCATCTGCAAAGGGAGGATAATGTCAGTGCTAACCTCACTGAGTTGTGAGGAGTAAATAATATAATACAGATAGTTATGGTAGTACCTAGCTTACGAAAGCCTTCTTTGTTCCAATCACACCAATAATAATCATTTTAACTAATAATTACTGAATGTTTACTGTGCACCTGCTTTTAAAGAGTTATTTACATTATCATTTTACTTAAACCTCGTCATACAACTCTGGGGTAAGTGCCACATTATTTCTATTCACAGACAAGAAACCTGAGGTAGGAGACCACACAGTTACAAATGACAAAGATTCCAGTCATTCAGTCTCACGCTAGAGTCCACTTGCTCAAGCATTAATCCATAACATCATACGTGCACTGTTTTGTATCTTTTTGTGGTGGGGGAGTTTAGTACTATAGTGAAAACTTACTTTAATATCTAACAAAAGAACTTTCTTCAAGAAGAATGAAATGATTACTTCTAAAGGTGATTTAGTAATACGTATCAGAAAGCTAAAAAAAAATGGCAAATATGAAGATACCACACCAATATCAGTATTATCAAAAACTGGAAACATCGTGAACTTTCTCAAATAGGGAAATATTTTAATGAAGTCATGGGACATCTCCTCAATGAAATTTTGCTGCAGAAGAAAGAATGACTTAACAGGACGTGATACGGGGGATGTAAGTTGTATTTGTGAATTTATGTATTTCAAGAAATGTGTTGATAAAACAGAAATATTGAGGAAGATTATATTCAATGATGGGATGTTAAGTTTTTCTTCTTTATACTTTTCTTTAATACACAGATTTACCTTTATAAATGTGCAATATTTATCTAACAGTGAATTTAGCAGTGAAGTTTGTCTTGGAGGAAAACCTCATACTTAGGCGTTCCAAAGAAACATCTTTTCCAAATGCCTCAGAATTCCTGTACAGAGTCTGACTTTGGATTTGGATGAGCACGTGGATATAGCACTCATCTTGTCAGGAATTTTTTTTTTTTTTTGGTCTTTTTCTTTTTTATCGGTACCAGGGATCGAACTGACGACTGCTTGCTTGCAAGGCAGGCACTTATGCCGCTGAGCTAAATCCCCAGCCCCTGGTCAGGAATTTTTATTGACCCTATTTGGGTGTCAGGTTCTGGCTCCATCATTCATGAGCCGCATGAGCTTGGTCTGGTCGTTTCTTTTGCAGATTTCTTTAGAACCTTCAGAACTGGAATCACCTAGTGCTGTACACGTTCCTGTTTTGTCCTCTGCTCTTCGTGTCCTTCCTCCTGCCTCTCGCTACACATGCGTGGGCTCTTAAAGTCCTAAAAGCATACACTCATGAGGAAATTCTGTTGGCACGGTGGGCACTGCAGGTGGTTTTACAATGGGAAACTGTCCAGGGAAACAGCCTGATGTTTGCTGAATAATGGTTCTAAGGCCTTTCCCCCTCTCTGGTTAAAACCAGTGATTCTGAGCTCTTATTTTATGGTTATTTCTGCATTCAAGATGACATCAGTTACTTCAAAGGTAATTGATGAATTGGCAATGGAAATTAATTCAAAGTCATCTTCCTTTTGAAATGAAAATGGGCCACGCATCACTTTATTTATTTATTTTTTGTGGATCAAACCATGACTGCGCACACTTGCCAGGCAGGTGCTTATGCCACTGAGCTAAAACCCTGGCGCCTCAGTCGTCGCTTTAGAAAGAGGAGCAAAAGCATGAGGTACTGAAGGTACCCTAACAAAGACGGGGTATTGGAGTAGCAAAGAGATTAGAAATAAAGGCTTCAGTATTTATACCCTAGTACTGCTGTCACAGTTACCTCCACTTGGGGATGATGGTCTTTCTGCAGTAAGTTTATTTCCTAGCCCTCCAAGCTACCCTACTCATTAAAATCTGGTCGCTATACTGCTGAAAAGTCTTTTTTTTTTTTTTTTTTTTTTTTTTTTTTTTTTTTTTTTTTTTGTCTTTTTCCTTTTTATCAGTACCAGGGATCGAACTCACGACTGCCTGCTTTCAAGGCAGCCGCTTATGCTGCTGAGCTAAATCCCCAGCCCCTTGCTGAAAAGTCTTTATTCTTCATTTTGACCCTCAAACCTCTTTTGTGACTTTACATATTACTGGATTGAATGATTTATTTCTGGTTAATTTCTCTATCAGCATCTGTCTCAGTGACATTCAATAAATATTTGGTAAATGGATGATGGATGGATGGGTGGATGAACTGATGGTAAGTAGAAGGATGAACAGATGGATGGTTGGATGGGTGGATGTACTGGAGGTCAGTGGACAGATGGATGGATGGATGGGTGAAGTGGTGGGTGGTTGGGTGGGGACACCATGACTCTGAGTGTGACCAATGGAAAAACTCTGAACTGAAATTCAGGAATTGACAAAGTTGATTTCTGTGTCTTTCTTTTTCTTTTTCTCCACCTCTCCTCATCTTTTATTCCTTAACTTTTCTTTCTATTTTCACATGAGAAGGAGTAAAAAAGTGATGGGGCGGTTCAGGATTGATTATGTAGGAAAACCTGTAATCCTTAAATAATTCGAAGTTAGACTCACTCAAATGCCCTGTGTTACTTGAAATCTTCCCTGCTGTTTTCATCTGGAAGAAATATCAGCATGGAAGTGTACTCATTGGGGTTGGCAGTCAGGGAAATGGTTATGCAAGGAGGTGAGATTTGAACTGGACCTTGTTTCAGTGAGCATAATTAATGTAAACTCCACACCGGAAAGGGTTTTACCTGTCTTTTTGGTTTGTTTCGAGTGCTGATTAGAGTATGAAACATAATATGTAATTTCTTGGGCAAATCAACAAATATACAAATAAAGGCAGTACAGGGAAAACACTGCAACTGTTTGATGACCAATAGTATCTACTTGGCAGGAGCTGTAATGTCTACTGGAAAAGAGAGTTGTAAAATCAGAGGTCTGGCAAACTGAAGAGGACCTTAACGTGGAAGGTGTTTAAGTCCTGTATCTAGTTGGCATCTGCTTCACCCCTCCAGTGTACATGGTGAGGTATGCCTGGAGGATCTGGCAGCACTGTAGGAATGACGACTTATGAAAAGAGGCCCTCCCATTTAGAGGGGCGTCCTCCTGTTGCATTTGAAGTTGGTCTTACCCACAGGAGAGAACCGGTTAGTGGTACTTTGTTGGATGGGCAGGCAGTGACTTGGAAGGACCCATACTTGCTTCTTAAACCTATCTTTCTGGTGTGTCCGGTCGATCCCCAGGGTCCAGCCCCACCTTTAGGTGGATGCCCTTGTCAGGTTATCTAACTTCTCTAACTGGCTCAAGTGCTTAAAAGCAATCTTTTGAAGTCTTCTTGGCAAGCTGCCTTAAATCTCACATCCGCTCTGAAATATGATTCCCTCCAGGAATTTTTCTCGAGGTGACAAGAGTAGCTCTGTGTCTTTCTCCTCCTCCCCTATACCTGGCCAGGACTTGATCTTCTCTGTCTTGGCTACCCCCACCTATTTCTTAGATTGAGCCAGTTTTTACATTTCAATCTTTTTCAGCTCTGGTCTGCTTATGTTGACTTTGGCTTCCTCTTTGAGTTAAAATGTTTACCTATCACTTTTTATTTGTTCTAGGTGTTATCGTATTTTGAAATATCAATGGCTTTATTTTTCCTTCTTGACTGGTTTTACTTCCCTGTGACTTTCTACTGTTCAAATAGAATTTTTTTTAATGCTTCCAAAAAGGACAACATGGGTTTCATGTACAAGAGATAGATAACTTCTCAGCATTGATTTTCAAATTGGTGTCCAGGTATAAAAACAAGAGATGTAGTCTTTACAGTTAGGCTTTCCAGAAAAATAAGATTATTAAATCAGAATTCTGGAGGCTGGGAATGATTTCCTTCAGGAACTCATCTTGGAAGACTAGCTTTGGAGTAATACAGAGCGGGAGGCAGCAGGTAGGATATAAAGAAGCTCTTGTTCCAGAGAAAGGGGGAAAAACAGTCATAAATAGTCACAGCTTAAGGTCAGGAGCGAGAGTTGTCTGTCTTAGGTTTTACCTGGCGGTGGGTGACTTAGGTTTCATCTGGCGGTTAGAATAAACATTCTAAAATGGATTTGGAGGAAGTTCAAGAACATCAGGGCTGTTTCCTGCTTTCTTGGGGAGGTGTGCTGGAGCAGAAAGGCGTTTAAACAAGCTCTGGGTGTGTGTGTGTCCCAAAGCCAGCATATATAGGGCCAGCATATATAGGTGGGGTGGAGGGTGGTATCTCATGGGAAATGAGGGAGTGCTGAGGAAACCCAAGTGCAGAAGATGCTTGGGTTTGCAAAGAGGCCATGGATACATCTATGGACACCACACATGGATATCTGAACAATGCTCAGGGAATTAAGTGGTTCAAGTCACATTCAACATACCCATATTCAAGATGTCTAAGGCTGAAACACAATGCCTTAAGTGAATGTCAAGAATTTCAGATGCACTAAATGCTTTTGGGCAGGATAAATAATAAAACCAACACGTGTTTTACAGCACTACATAGTTTAGAAATATCTTTCTCTGCTGTGCTAATCAAGGGTGTTAATTTGAGTGCTATCTTACAGGTTAGATATTGGGGAGTTTTATAAAGTGAGGTGAGCTCAGTAGAGTGAGCTCAGGACCAGGTGCTTAAGTCTTCTGTCTCCAAATCTACCTGGGTTTGCATTTCTTCCTTAGGATCTTTCTGGTGATTTCTAAAGTCCAGGTCTCTCATTTCAGGCAGAAAGAGTGACTCCTGAGGCTGAGTCTCCAAATTGCCTTTAGCTGTAGGTTTTTGCTTTTCCTCCCATGGCACCGAGAGAGGCTGGGCCAGACCACTGTGCTCCACAAGGCAGAAATGGGGACCTCTGTCCTGAAGGGGGATTTCCATCACTACCCAGGACTGGTAAGTGCCATTCCCACTGGGAAGAACATCTACTCGTGATTCAGACTCCTGCTTCTTGCCAGCCGGGACCCAGCGCAGACCAAGTCCTCGTGGGTAGAAGTCGTAGGCCAGGCATTTGAGTGTCTTGTTTCTTCCTGGAACCAAGTGGCTAGTGACTGACACAGAGGGAGGATCTGTTGAGGGATAAAGTGTGGACATCGAAGACCTGAGGTGGACTTATCCCTGCCCATGCCTCTCCCACCCTTGGCTTCCTAGATGTCGGCCATCTTCAGAGCTTTAAGCTCTGCATTGGTTCCCTCGGGAAATCTTTGGGAAGACTGAGGAAGGCTGAGGCTTCCTCCAAGAATACCCTCTTTCCTACCATCCCTGTCCCACCATGGGTTGACTTATGATGCCACAAATTGTGAATGCCTTACACACCTCCCTATTTTCCCCCTAAACCTCAGTGGGTTTTGCAGCTTTCTTCTCCTTAAATATCAGCCCAGTTCCTTAGATCTGCCTGCATTTTTGTCTATCAAACTTTTCCTTGCTCACTGCAAGTCTTATTTTTCTACTTCTCTAGTCAAAGCCTCAGCTTGTGGCACTCAGTTCCGCTCATGCTGCTTGTCCACCCAGGACAGACATTTCGCCCACCCTCCCTCTCTCCACAGGCAAGACAAGGGCATCAGTGTAGAGAGAAACAACTCCTGGATTTGGATTCTGAAGTGTGCAATTTGAGTCTCAATTCTATCATCTACCAATTGGGGATTATTTAGTAAAATGTACCATGGAATCCCACCCAACATGAAATTTTGATGAACTTTCTTTTTGGATCTCATATCATGTCCTCCCAGGGGGAAAAATGAAAGGCAGTGAAAGCCGGCCACTAAAGGATTCCACTGGCAGAGGGGAGCAGACTGAGATCACCTTGACCTCCCTCAGCTCAGTCCTGGGAACAGACCTTAGGAAGCAGTGAGTACCTTGCTGGTCCAGGTGACCCTTGCTGTAATTCAGGTACCTCCGCAGCATCGCAGGGCACTCCTCCTCCAGGTACGCCTTTGCCCGCTGCACGTAGATTTTTTCTGCCTCCCACTTCTGCTTGGTTTTCAGGGCTGCTGGGTCCAAGGGGTCCAAGGGGACCCAGGCTGGGATTTCTTTGTTGAATTCGATGAAGTCCTGTCCATCGTAGGCATATCTCCAGAATGCTCCACTGCTTCTGTTATTCTGGATCTCACAACCAAACATTCCCTGAAAGGTGTGAGACCCTAAAGCCTCCCCCAACCCCAAAATGAGTTAGTCAGCCTGGTGCCACTGCCAGTTGAGTAACTTTTGTTCCTGCACACTCTTATTCCTATTGCAACTCAACAGAAAGCTTTGGAAACTTCAGCACACAATCCCTTCACTTTGGCAAATAGGTTACTAGCAAGATATATAGCAGATAGAGAGACTTGTTTGGTTTGGCATCTGATGCCAGGACGAGATGAGATACGTTTTTCAGATTCAGGGAACTTGAGAGAGACACAGACTATGGATAGATTTCTGACTTTTGTGCATCAACTCACTTAATGAACCATATTTGTCTGAGTAGATGAGAGGTCTTAGGAATTCATTGCATCCACAATGAAGCACATTGCTAAATTTAAAAGAAGTTATTTGTGGTTTCATATAAATTATGAGAATCTCTCTTTTTTTTTAGTTCTAAGTAGAGTTCCTATCACCACTTGAGTAAACATAATTTGATTCTCATTCTCTCTGTCTCTCTGTCTTTGTCTCTGTCTCATCCTCTCTCCCTCCTCTGCTCCCTCCAGGTATCACTGTGTAATTTACAGTGGATTTGAACTTATATATCCAGGCTGGTTTTGGGTTTGTTCTCAAGTACTAGGACTACAGTGTGTGCCACCACACCCAGTTTCTGGTGGTTGGTATCTTTATTTCAGATCTCCAAAACCCGGATGCCTTTGCCTATGAGCAATGAGTCTCAGAAACTGATTTCCTTGGGCAGTTAAATTTTATTATAAAGTAGGTGTGTACTCTATCCTGGAAGTGCTGTTGGCACAGGCTGCAATAGCTTTCAATTCATCTGTTTACAAATCCCAGATCTTTCTCCACCCAAACTGGTCTGTTGCATAAATTTGAGCCTTATGACTGTGCTCCATGACATGGTAGTAATACTATTTTAGGAGGATATTGTGGGCAATTTAATATGTTAATACGTGGCATTCATTAAAAGATCAATGAATGTTAGTTACTGTACCATTACTTTTGAACATACTGTGTTCATTTCTTTATCTCTTCATCTACACCGGTAATCACTGATTTAAATTTTGTTTTTGTGGTACTGAGGATTGAACCCAGACCTTTTGCACTGAGTTATGTTTTAAGCTATTTTTTTATTTCCTATTTTGAGGCAGGGTCTTGCTAAGTCACTAAATTGCCCAGGTTAGACTTGAACTTGTGATCCTTCTGCCTCTGCCTCCCACAGTGCTGGGATTACAGGTGTGCACATCCACACCTGGCTCACCTCAGTGTTTCTACTTCAGTCAATCAAAATTTCTTCCGGTATTCTTCCTAGACATCCGTGTCCGCCCTGCTCCTGTTTCTGACACCCATCCCAGGCTGTTTTGCCCTATTCCACATACTTTATATTTCTATATAACTTTTAGCTCCTTTTGAAAGCTTTCAGTTTCTATGTAACTTCTTACACATTTTTGAACTCAGAAACCTGCATTTGGACTCTTAGCCTGTAATAGCTTAACATCAACAGTTCAGCACACTTGAGACTGACTGCCTTGAGGGAGGTAGGTATTGCGTTTTAGGGGAAATGGAATTTGTGTCTTTCTGGTTCTGCCACCTTCTCGTGATATCCCAGGTACAGATGATGTGCTTTGTATCTGCTCCTTATGGGAAAAAAAATCTTTATGATTCCATATAATTTGAGCAGTATGGGTCATGCTTTGTGCTAGACACTTTCTTTATATTTATGCAACATATTTCAGTTGGGCCAATATTACTGTCTGTGTCCTATCCTATGCCAAAGGGCTGCAGGGAAGAGCAAGACAAACTATTATATCCTTTATGGAATATAATATTTTTTTTAACTTTTTTTTTTATTGGTATTGGGGATCGAACTCACAACCGCCTGCTTGCAAGGCAGGTGCTTATGCCGCTGAGCTAAATCCCCAGCCCGCAATGGAATATAGTTTTATAGAGTCTTTTAGAGATAAGTCTGAGGGCTCCCACTTTTAAACTTTCTGATCATATAACTAAGAAAATTGTTCACCATCAAATAGGAGATGACTGGTGGAGCCACCAAATGAACTCAGATGTAATTGATTCCAAGGTGAGGTCGCTCTCTACCCAGGGCTGAATCTTGACGCCTCCTGGAGTGGGATCAGCCTCAGATGGCTGGAGTGTGAAGGCATGAAATCAGAGTGGGTGGGGATAGGAGGAGAGTCTGATACCACTTTCCATGTGAGCTGAGGTCTGGGGTGAGGATGAGGGAAGCCATGGGAAGGAGGAAACATATATGCGGTAGGGTGGGAGACCCAGATATATTTGTGCATATCTACTTTTGCCTCCTGTTCCTTCTTGAGGGGAGAGCCTTTTCCATTCATACGTGTGGGGCTATCTCTTATGCTAAGATCCCTCCAGTGGTTTTCAGTCTACTGACCTTCACTGTCCTTGTAATAGTCCATGATGTCTTTCAGGGTCACCAGGAAGATTTCCTGCCTGGCCTTCTGAAGCTGGCTCTCCTTCTCCCAGTTTTCCATTCCTTTTATCTTTCTCCATGGTCCTATAGGCTCTGCTTTTCTGCTGTCACTGTTGTAGTGGAAGAAGGCCTGGTCATTGAGGAAGGCGGTGGCTTGAAATTTGGGGAAGACTCTACTGGGCCTGGACAGCCCCGTGTAGAGAAAGACCAGAGAATAAGGACCTGCAAGACAGGAGAAGACTCTGATGGGTGAGGTACCTGATGGGGGAGCCACTCTTCCTCTCCAGCTCTGTCTACCCAACTGTCAAGCTCATACCAAGCTCTGTAGAAGAATGAGCTCTGTGTTTATTCTGGCATGACTTTTCAGAGATCATTCTGTACCTTCAGTATAGTGTCTTCTGATTGGCACACAAAATAATACTTTTCAGTCTCCTTATTCTTTATAAATGTTGGGGGACCATATGACTGAGTTCTGGTAAAAGAGAATGTTAGTAGAGGGGAAGTGATGTCTTTCTTCTGGTCCAAGGCTGCGGGCTGGCTTACCGTTTTTGTATTTCCTCCATTTTGGAAATGCTGTGGTCTGGATAAGTACCTCCCAAGGCCCATGTGTTAAAGAATTGGTTACCACCCTGTGACACTGTTGGGAGGTGCAGGTGGTGGAGCATTTAGGAAGTAGGGTGTAGTGAGAGGAAGTTAAGTCACTGCAAATGTGCCCTTGAAGGAGGTTTGGGGACCATTGACACCTTTCTCTTTCTTGTTTCTTCCGGGCTGCCACAAGATGAATAACTTCTCTGCCATTGCTCCTCACAATGTTGTGCTACTTTATTACAGGTCCCAAGTCAATGAGGTCAAATGACCGTGGATTGAAACCTTCGAAATCATGAGCCAAAATAAACACAAAGGATGATTATGGAGGTCAAGGGATAAAATGGAAGAGTCTCAAAATTGAAAAGTCTGAATCACTGGGTCATCTTGTGGAGGTGATAAAAGTTGCCCCATTGCACTGACGTTGATATCAGTGAGAACTCAAAATTTGTTGGGTAAGCCACTAAAAATTTATTTGTCATTGAATCATAACCTAGTTTAACCTGAAAAATACATACCATTAAAAGGCATGGGAAGGAAAATTTATTAGAAAATTCAAAATACAATCCAGATATGTCAGCACAGGGTAATACTAGGATGGATCTTAGAATTCCTGGAGCTTCATTTGCATTTTGGAACAAGGCAAGGACTGGAATATTTTCATATTTAATTGCATAGTTAGTCCACAGTATAACTCACATGGGTATTAATAATGTTAGCAGTCATTTAGGAGATTCCTAGTTCAAATTATGAAATTATTCTTGTAACTAGTTTCTGAATGTGACTAAAATATCAGTCAGTTGTGGGAGTAGACCCTCAGTAGAGACACTGGCATGGAAGAACGATCAGGAATATGCCACACCCCAGCTAATTTCTGTCTAACGTATTATGGTGTGTACTAATACATGCTGGCAGGCTATGGGGGAAAAGAGATCTTTGTCTACTCTTAGTAGGAGTGTAGACTGATATAAGCACTGTGGAAACCAGTGTGCAGATTCCTCCAAACACTAAAATTAGAGGTTCTAGCTATTACCTTCTTGGTATCTTCCTGAAAGAAAAGCATCATATCACAGAGATATATGCACACCTATGTTTATAGATTGTAATAGCCAAATCTTGGAAACAGCCCAAAGACCCATCAACCAATGAAGGGATAAAGAAGATGTGGGTTTTTTGTACAACAAAGTGCTATTCTGCTATAGAGAAAGATAAACTGGAGAAATGTCTAGCTAAGTGGATGCAGCTTGAGACCATACTTTTAAGTGAAATAAATTTGACACACATGTTCAAATTTCATATGGTTTTTCTGGTATAAACAACTAAAACTGTAAATAGTGATCAAAATTTATAATAGATATTGGGAAATGGGAAGAAAATGTTCAAATGAGAAGGAGAATAAGGGAAGGGGAGAGGAGGAAAGGAAGGAAGAGACAAGAAAAAAATAGGAAAAAATAGAGACAAATCTTTTATAAATAATAAGGGGAATAGGGATTGAAGGGAAGGAAGGGGAATGGGAAAAAAAAGAAACAAGATATATCATGTACAGGCACAAATTCGTCTATGATGAATATTATAATTATGTTTATCTAGGAAAATTTTAAAAATATGGAGATGAGGACACACCATATTTTTAAAATTTTAAAATGTCCTCATATTCTCTAGCTCTAGTATTGTGAGACTTCTAGCTCTTCCTCAAAGTCAAGATGAACATGGAAGGTAAACATTTTGTGTTGATTCAAAACATCGAGGCTGACCCAACACTGCACATAAAGATACTAATGAAAGAAGACATCCAGAACTGCTTCTGGAAGTGGCAAGAATGATGGAATGAGGGTGTTTGAAGTGAGGGGCTATTTGAGGGACATTAATGGTAATGTGTCTTTTATTGTACCATTTTAAAAATTAGACACATACCATATTTTTGATCACAGCTCTATTGTCTGTCTATCTATCTCTGTCTATCTATCTATCTATCTATCTATCTATCTATCTATCTATCTACCTATTTACCTATCTACCTAATCTGTCTATCTATCATCTGTCCATCTGTCCTGATTCTCTGGAGAACCCAAATGAATACCAATTTTGGTGTAGAATATACTTAACATTCTAAATGTGATTAATTTTGACACAAGTAAACAATTTTCAAACTGGCAGTTTAGAAATCACTAGTGTCCCTCTTTTCATCCTGAACATTGGTTTACCATGAATATTAGAACTGACTCTGGATCTCCCTGAGCCTGCACTGTTTTCTAGCCCCTCATCTTCCCTGCTTACCATTTGACCATGAGATAAGGGCTTGGGTTTCCTCCTAACATTCTCCTTCCTAGGAACCTGCCTTTGCATTTGCTCCCCCTCTCCCTGATTCAGGTGTGACCCTCTATTGGAAGGGTGGTGGGAACCAGAGCAGAAGAAGTTCTGCATGGCTTCTGCTCCATCCTGCAGTCTGGCCCCAGGTAGATCCCTTGACCTTTTTGGGTCTTAGTTTTTTTTTTTTAATCTGGGTTTTAGGTTCAGATACTTTAAGTTCTTATCTGTGTGTTCAGAGGCCCCCTGAATACTTTTAGAAGTGTGAGCTGAACTAGTTGATAGCAGTGCACACATGTTATTACAGGAAATCTGGAACTCCCACCCACATTGGCCCCTTTGCCCTCTTTCCATTCTCTAGTACCTCCCCTTGTTTTGCTACTCACCAGCTCCTGGAGTCTCCTGGGGGATTGCAGGACCCAGAAGAAATGGCAGGGACAACAATACAGGTACCATTGTTACCACTGGACTTAGTGGGAAGGTCTGGACAGGAAATCAGCCTTGCCCTGGTCCTTGGAGCGCTGCCCAGGGGCGGTAAACTCACAGACCAATGTGAGAGCCAGGATGAGCGCCTCCCCAGACAGTGAGGATAAAGGTTACACGGGCCAGGCCAGACAGAAATGCTTGTGGGGTCCTCAGACTGGGTCTTTAAGCTGAGAGCTGAGAAAGCTGACCAGGACTCTGTGTAGTCCCTCGACAAAAGAATGCCAGTAGGCTCAAGGCATGTGTGGCAGGCGCAGACACCTGGGCTGTGTGTCATCCTGACAGTTATTGTAGCATCTCCACTTTAGTGTCAAAAAGGGGTTTGGAAATCATAAGATCACACTTCCCCTCCTTTCCTCTAATAAGTTCCCAACATGTCCAGAGCCTGGGACTGGGTAGACCCTCGTGAGAGTGCAAATGTCACTGTTCCCACACTCATTCTGACAGAACTCTATTTGGAGAACATCTCTCTCCTTTCCTCCGTACTGTGCCTGCACAGTCCCAGCCTTCTGTCCCGGAAGCACTCATGGAAGCCAGATTTCTTCTTTTGCAAGAAATCTGCAAAAGAAATCTATTGCAAAGAAGCCTCCTTTGCAATAGAACAACTGTGTGTACATGGCTTAGGTGCAGTGAGCCGATGCACCTTCTCTGGAGCACTGAGTCAGGTGTTAGAGAAACAGACAAGCTGAGCATGGGACAGTCCTTCCTGAGAGTTTCAGTAGTGGCTACAATTGCCAGCGCCATAACTACGGAGTTCAGTTCATGGCAATGTCCCTGATCAGTGCTGTGGTTTCTGGTGCCCCCTGCTGGCCACTTTAGTGTGTTCATAGGACTAGTGGTTTGGACTGTGTCTTTCCTAATTCTGAGCCTTTGTTCTTCAGTCTCTGTGAACTCTTAACACCAGCCAACAAATATATTTATCTTTCCCTTAAAGTAGGAGTTGACCTGTTGCTAGTGATGAATGATCTTGACTGATACAGAAATTGGCACAAGGCTTGTTCTGTCAACAATCACTTAGGGAAGTGGAGGGTTGGGAATCTGGGCTTGGTTATAGGTCTACATTGGGGCTGAAGTCACTGCACATTTGAAGATCTAGGGGAATTATTGGGCCTGATATGCAGTGGTGGGTAAAACTCCTGGGCGAATTCTCTCTTGTGCTTGTTGAAGGCAGCAGTTTAGTGGCTGATATAATAGGACAATGTGAATGATATAAGGAATTCAAGGACCAAGGTTTAGGAAGTTGGAGTCTAAAAATGGTAGCACGGTTAAAGAAAATTAATAAGCTCAAAGCAAAAATTATTTGCATTAAATCATTCATTTGTGGGGCTGGGGATTTAGTTCAGCGGCATAAGCGCTTGCCTTGCAAGCAGGCAGTCGTGAGTTCGATCCCTGGTACCGATAAAAAGGAAAAAGACCAACAACAACAACAACAAAAAAATCATTCATTTGCTATGATAATACAGAAGGAACCTTTGTATTTTATAGGGATGAAAGGGCAGACTGGTAGTTTAGCTCAGTGGCACAAATACCTGCCTGGCAAGCACAAGGCTGCTGCGACCCAATGCAGCTCCCCAGGTTCTGGGGGTTAAAGACCACGAGAGGATGAGGAAAATAAAGAAAAGAGAAAGCTGGGGTCAGCTGGAGCCCCTATGCTCCCGATGGGAGGAAAGGAACTGCTCAACCACTGTAGCACCTTTATTTATATACTGGGAAAGACGATGTCAGTTTCAGCCCCTCTGCCTAGCAACTTGTTTGTCTGGCAGGTCTGGGCCCCTGCCTTTTTGGTGCTGGAACAACTTGTTTACATGGCTTGTATTAGTCTCTGTTTTTTTCTGGGCTGGCCTTGCTTTAGCCCCACACATGCGATCAATCTCCAGCTTCACCAGTCAGGAGCTTGATCTCTGGAACAAACAAGTAAGAAAATATATTATAAAGAGCTAGGGATTTAGCTCAGTGGCATAAGCATCAGTCTGGCAAATGTGAGGTCAAATTCAATCTCTGATACAAAAAAAAAGGTCAATAAAACCTAATAATACCTAATCAGTAAAACCTGATAACAAATAATAAAGACACATAGTGCCCAAAACCTAATAATGAAATATGATCTAGGAAGTCATACTAATTTTATATAATAGTATGTGCTAACCCAATCTTTATCAGAGAAATAAGTCTGATGGAGCATTGGGAAAGGCCTGATGGAGGGTTGCGGATTTGCAGCATATTGGACAGGGACAGAATTTCTGTTGGCAAATTGTAGGCAAATTTCATAAGAACAAGAGTGGCATCAGATTACTTTTCCTGTCCCTAGTGTTTATCCAGGGCTTTGGATAAAGAAGGCAATCAATAAATACAAACAGATCAATGGATAAATGAACAAAGACAAAAAGTGAGAACAGTAGCAGATACATTTGAGGGTCACTGAGACCATATTGATAGAAAAAGAATTTATGAAAGTGACTGAAGAAGTGGGCAGGCAGGAGAGATACATGTAAAAAGAAAATTGGAATTAGATCTGGAGCAGCCCAATGAATGTGTCCAGTCATCTGGTGAAAGAATATTTATGTGTGATTTTCCTTACTGCTTGAATTTTCTGGCTGCCCTATTTGTCTACTCAGTAGTACTCAATCTTTTTATGCCATTGTTTCCTTTTCCAGTATATTAGTCAACTTCCTCTGGCTGGGACAAAATATGTGACACCCACAACCCAAAGGAGGAGAGGTTTATTTTGGGTCATGGTTTCAATCCATGGTCAGCTATGTTCAAGGCATCATGGAAGAAGGGCATGTTGGAAGTTGCTCAGCCCATGGCACCCAAGAAATAGAAAGGGTCCAGTAACCAGATATAGTTTCCAAGATCATGCCCCCAACCCTTCCAGACACACCTAAGAGTGACTTTTACTAATCTCCTAGGTATCTCTCAAGTCAGTGGAGATTAGCTAACCATCACAGTCCACCTATTGTTAATTTGACATCCAAACACATCTCCTTAAACCATACTTCCTCTTCAGCTGGAGACAACAGCAAAATTATAATTTCATCTGACATTATGTAGTTATACAGTGTGCAATAAAACCCCACACTATTTCCTTTCTTAAAGTCTCAATAGTCACAGCATTGTTCCAAATTCCAAGTTCAGTTTCCCCTGAGACCCTAAGCAAATCTTTATCTGTGAAATCCTGTAAAATTTGGGCCTCACTGTGTGTCTGGAGGACTGTGGATATCTCAGCAAGCAGGGAGGGATCGCAGGTTCCTGAGGCACCGCGGCCTGTGGTGAGTGCTCAGCACACTCTGCCCAAATCTCAGACTGTTCCGGACCCTCCAGGCTTCCGGGTGCAGTGAAGTGGAGAAGTGGGTTTGAGGCCTCTATATCTGCCTCCCCATCCCAGCTGCACTTGGAGAACTGCTGAGCTTCTGACGGGTGGGCGGGCCCACACTATCCCTGGAGCCCAGTCTGTTTCGGACTGCTGCGCCTAGCCATCGGTGTGCAGAGGAGGGGCTGGGCAGATCTGGGGCACCTGCATCGGCCTCCCTGTGTGTCTGGAGGACTGTGGATGTCTCGGCGGGCGGTGGAGCATCGTGGGTTCCAGAGACCCTGCAGCCTATGGTGAGTGCTCAGCGCACTCTGCCCAGAGCCCAGACTGTTTGGGTCCCTCCAGGCTTCCAGGTGCAGTGAAGTGGAGAGGTGGGTTTGAGGTGTCTACATCTGCCTCCACATCCTGGCTGCGATTGGAGAACTGTGGAGCTTCCAAGGGGCAGGTGGGCGCACAGTGTTCCTGAGGCCCAGCTTATCCGGAACTGTGGAGTTCTGAGCAGGCAGAGGAGGGCCATTGGTTCTGCAGGCCCAGTGGCTTGGGGTAGCGTGGTGCCAGAGTCTCAGTAGCTGCAAACATAGAAGGGGATTTTCAACAGATCCTGAGGAAGCTTTCAAATAACACTTGAAACACAGAAATATAGGAAAATGACAAAACGAAAGACCAAATTACAACCTCAGACCTCCAGCCCATCTCAAGAAACCCTAGGAGCAATGTATATAGAAGAAAATATATGCCATTCACCTCAGATATCTGACACAATAGCTACTGAAATTGACAAGCAACTCCAGAAAGCTTTAAAGAAATTCAAACTCGAAATAATCTCCCAGATAAAAGAAGAAATGATAAAAGAAATGAAAGAGATTCTGAATATATCTAAAGAAAACACAGATAAAAAGTGGAGGAACTAAACAAAAAGATAGAATCCCTAGATGAGCAATATAAGAAACAAACAGAATACATAATGCAGATGCACAGAGATATACAGAAAATAAAACTCCACTGAAAGTTGTAAAAACCGCCTTAATGAAAGTGAAGATAGAATTTCAGACCTTGAAGACAGAATTGCAGCTAGTGAACAGGAAAGGAAAGATCTTTTAAAAATAAGGAATCAGGAAACAACAATTCAACAACTGCAAGACGATGCAAAGAAGAATAACATAAGAATGATAGGGATTAATGAAAAAGAAGGAGACAACATAAAGGATGTCAAGAGGATATTTAGAGAAGTAATAGCTGAAATTTCCCAAGCATGAGATCAGAAACCGACATCAGGATCAGTGAAGCATATAGAACTCCAAATAGTCATAACTAAAATAAAACTACACCCAGACATATAATAATCACCATCCCAGAAATCCAACACAAGAATAGATTATTAAAAGCTGTCAGAGAGAAAAGACAGATCACTTATAAAGGAAAACCTATCAGAATCACAGCAGACTTCTCAGCACAAACAATAAAGTCAAGAAGAGCAGAGTGAAGTATTCCAGATCCTAAAGCAAAATGATTTCCAACCTAGACTGATATATCCTGCAAAACTATCATTCAAAATTGATGGTGAAATACAATACTTCCATGACAAAGAACAGCTGAAGAACTTCATGAACACCAAACCAACCCTGCAAAAAATATTGAAAGACAGTTTAGATACACAAAGGAAAAAAGCACTAAGCAAAGCAAATAATTAAACAGAACAGAAAGATAAAGATGCAACAGCAGAGAGATAAC